CAGACCGAAAAGTACATTCGCGCAAGGTCCTGCTCTGAGTGACCTTGTCTGTAACGTCAAGAGTTAGTTTAGCGTCGGGCAGAAAGGACCACTACAGTTTCTCCCGGTGCCAGTAACTCAGGCAATCTTTTGTTTCCGATCTTTTTGACTAGGTCCTGATACGGGTCATAGGAAGAAGAGGAAGTAGGGGGAGTACGGTAAGGCTTCTATCAGTACAAACTAAATCGCGAGCAAGTCACCGCACCTGCGTCAATCTTGCGGCCGAACTATCAAAGGAGGGGGGGGTTACCACATTATTAAAGTGTGTTTTCTCTCTTCATCTAGTTTTTGGGTCAACACGCAACTCTCAAGTGAGTTACTTTAACCAACGGTTATGTCTTGCTTCTGTTTAGAACAGGAGGCTATGCTGACAGAAATGGAAGACCGCCTGACGGAGTCAGTAAAAGTTAATTTCGACTTTACTCACGCAATCAGCTATATTGCCGGACCGCTGACAGTTTGGCGACTGGATGCCTGCAAGGCGGTTTGGGCAGGCCACAATGAAATTGTGAACGCTCAGAAGAGCGACAAAATCCTCATTGAAGACCCCAATGCCAAAAAGCAGGAAGCCGAAGCGGTTGAAGAGGAGGGTCAGGAGGGAGAGGGCGAAGAGGAGGCTGCCGTGGAAGAGGAGAAAGAAGACGTAGTTCAGGAGGAGGAACACGTTGAAGGTGAGCTGGATCCGGCGGAAATCGCAGCATCCGAAAGACCACCTCTAAAGGAGTGGACTAAACACATGTGCGTCTACTTGTGCCTGCGTTTAGATGTCGTCGTCCTAAATTTCCTGCTTATGTAATTCGCTAGAAGTAGCCATATTGTTTTTCCAAGATTTTTCAAAAAGATATGGACTAGGATTTCACATTCTGATTGAGTTATTTATCGAATAATATTGTATGCCTCGGGAAAATTGCCAACATTATGGCCTGTTTTTACACTGAAAGGTTGGGGATTAGGTTAAGTATCACGATATATAATAAAATTTGGTTCAAAATTGGAGGGTGGATCAGGATAGGCATTTTCCACGAAAATCTCTTCCCGGAAATGTAGACTACCTTGACAGAAGTGGGATTCTCACCTTCTCTTTCGACCGGTTTCAACATTAGGTGTAAACTTTAGTTTTATCTGAGGGTGTCTGCTACCCTGAATGGGGAAAACTCTTATCTGCCAAAATCTCATTTAATTTATGCTCTGACTGGGCATGTATTGCAATCGTTATTACTAACGTCAAAATATGCCTCAATCATGTGCTGTCTTTTGGCCGAGTTATTTGAACAAAGCAATCAATTAATTATCGTTCTGATAATTATT